CTAAAATCGTCGAAGTTTATCAAGTTTCTAGAATTTCCAGGATTCTGCAGAACTCGATGAATTTGTTCACAATATTAGCATCTCTAAAATAATGTTTCGTCGTAAAAAAATATTTCTTGCCATCAAAAGTTAAAGTCCAAATTTTTTAATTAAATTCTATAATAAAATTACTCTAGAGGCACCATAATCCCTAGAATCTTCGAAGTTCCTAGAATTTCCAGGATTCTGCAGATCTCACAATATTAGCGTCTCTTTTCATCGTAAATGAACAACCTTTTCGTCGTAAAAAAAATATTTCTCGCTATCAAAAATTAAAGTCTAAATTTTTAAATTAAATTAAATATAATAAAATTATTCCAGAGCTTTCATCCCTAAAATCGTCGAAGTTTATCAAGTTTCTAGAATTTCCAGGATTCTGCAGAACTCGATGAATTTGTTCACAATATTAGCATCTCTAAAATAATGTTTCGTCGTAAAAAAAAATATTTCTTGCCATCAAAAGTTAAAGTTCAAATTTTGAAATTAAATTCTCTAATAAAGTCACTCTGGAGCCACCATAATCCCTAGAATCTTCGAAGTTCACCAAGTTTTCCTAAAATTTCGCTGGCCTCGTAAGTATTCCACGATGTCAGCAAATGTTTCTGAAACAGTGTCGTCGAGAAAATACATATTTCTCACTAGTCGTGTTACCAAGGACCAAAGTCGGTTGCCTTCTCCTCTATCGATTGGCTCGAAGAGTCGAAATTCATTATTTATATCACTCGCGACCACGTACGTACTTCCATGCGCCTTGTTCACCTCGCGCTCAGCCGTCACGTATTTATAGAAAATATGAAATATCAGCGGCGGAAATCTACGCCGGTGTTTCCTCGCGTAAATTAATCGAACAGATTTGCCCCATTGCAGGCGCGTAGCGTCTTCGTCTTTGAAACTTGTGACGAGACAAAAGACAACACGTTGCGTGTAAATCAGAGTTCTCGTCCAAACTCTCTACCCCTCCACCTAGGTTTATTTGTTATAAACTCGCGAGTCTCGTGCTAGCTAGAGCTAGACGATCATTCCATCCGTTAGCGAGGCTGCCAAACGTGACACGTCGCTAAAAATACAGGGGTGTCCATGAAGTCTCTTTACAATTTCAAAAATTCATTACAGAGGCAAGTGGAAAAGACTGACAAGTGGAAATTGTTACAAAATGAGACGTGTATATTTAAGTTTTTTGCCTCATTTAATACACATACTGTATATGGACATTAGTTGCACATTGCACGCGTTGATAATGTAAATCATCGTGATTGTAAACGTATTATTTATACGTAACATCGGAATTGCTCATTAACGATGAGCTGCAATATTTACTTGTCACTTGGAAATCGAAATGAGAAAACAGAGGCGAGCGTTTCGTCGGGATGACGAAACAGAGATGCTGAGAAACCAGTATCGGTTATAATATCAAGTGCAACTGGACTCGTCGTCTAGAGCAGAAATACACGAGTCGGCCTCGGGGGAACACGATCGAAAATAGAAGTAAAACGTGCTCGTTCGCTGATGCAGATCCGGCGTAACGAGTGAACTCGTCAGGATAGCGAGGACGGTAATCGAATTAAAGCGTCGTTGGTGTAGTTAGCGTCGGATGAAAGCTGCGACTGTACGAACGAAGCGTTTCAAATCGAGCTGATCCAACTCCAGCCGAATCGTCGAACTACGGAAAAGCAGTCTGGCATTTTTCCACCGTGTGCTATCTTTGCATTCAGATATTCAGATATTCAGATATTGGGTATCGCCGCGATCTCAAACTCGTTCTCAAAACAAACTGCAAAAGATTGGGCATTTTATATATTTTATAGTATGTATTTTTGTGTATTTTATATATTTTATAGCATATATTTTTGTATATTTTATATATTTTTTAGCATATAAATTTGTTTTTTAATATTTTATAGTATATATTTTTATATATTTTATATATTTTATAGTATATATTTTTATATATTTTATAGTTTATAGTTTTGTATATTTTATATATTTTATAGTATATAGTTTTGTATATTTTATATATTTTATAGTATATAGTTTTGTATATTTTATATATTTTATAGTATATAGTTTTGTATATTTTATATATTTTATAGTATATAGTTTTGTATATTTTATATATTTTATAGTATATAGTTTTGTATATTTTATATATTTTATAGTATATAGTTTTGTATATTGTATATATTTTATAGTATATAGTTTTGTATATTTTATATATTTTATAGTATATAAAATATAGTATATATATTTTGTATATTTTATATATTTTATAGTATATATTTTTATATATTCTATATCATATAATTTTATACATTTTATATCATATATTTTTATATATTTTATATTATATAATTTTATACATTTTATATTATATAATTTTGTACATTTTATATCATATATTTTTATATATTTTATATTATATAATTTTGTACATTTTATATCATATATTTTTATATATTTTATATAAAAATATATAATATAATTATATAATAATATAATTTTACATATATTATATTATATATTTTTATACAATTTATCCTTATTATAAACGATTAATTGATGACTCTTTATTACTGTTGTAAATAATCGGAGAAACGTAAAAATAGTTTCTAACAACAATTTCATACAATCGTTGTGTCTAAAGACGTCTAGTCTGGCACACTTCCATCATCGTCTCTTTACATTAGATCTGTCGTGACATTATTTGCACTTATAAATCATCGCCAAAACAAATTGCAGAAGATTTTTTCGTGTCGTATCGAGCTGATCCAACTCCCAAAGTCATCGTCTAGGAATTTTTTCTGGTCTGGCATTTTTCCTCAGTATATTCAAGTGCATCGCGATAATCATTCTTATTATAAAACAAACTACATCATTTGTTTGTTATTCAATGACAAACGCTCGTAATTATTCGAGTGACGTGTCTTTTCTATTTTATGCTGTAAAATACAAGTGATGATTTTTCTTACTATTGTTAAAAAGCTTCCAAAAAAAAAAGAAACACGAAACGTAAAAGTATAATACTTTTTAACTACAGCTACCACAGTGAATATCCCTAGGCTAGTTGTTCGAAATTTGTTTCAACGATACGCCTGTTATTCTTCACATTCGCATAGTTTCGTTTCATTAATTAATTACAAATTAATTTTCATAAAAGTTTCATTAATTAAACGCAAAAATTAAACGAAATGAGAATTCCACAATTCTTTGTCGCGAGAATTCTAATGAATGACGTTTCGATTGTATCGTTGATTAAAAATCACGCGCGCTTCGAACGCGTGCTATTGAAATTGCAATATCTGTCGAATAATTTCGTGAATCGCGTCATACACAGATTGAAATATCGAAATTTACGAATGTTTGAAAGCTCCGAGAATAATTTGCCACCGCGTGAAAAATATTCTAGGAATATCAGGAAAGTATAAGTATACACGCATGAGCATTGAATTATCGTACTTTCCAACTAAGCTGCTTGCGTAAGATGATGTTTCATTCTCGTTTGAATTTGACACTTTGAGTTGGCCGATCATTGATTTATCACTTAATCGCTTTTTATTGTGTTTATTTTTAATTTCGTATCGACGTATCGTATCTTCATTTGGAGAAAAATGAACGCAGATTGAAATTCGATGATCAACAAATCATAATTACTGCGTTTCGCTGATAAATAAATCGTTCAATTTTCTCCTCCTGAATCGTTAATGCAAAATTAATTTCCCGTTACACGATCCCACCATACCCGTTTTTTAATTTTTATTTCTGCATCGATTTTATTTGATGCATTCTGGCTTGCAGTTGCATGTAAACTCACCGCTGTTTTTTTTTTTTTTTTTTTTTTGGATTGTTTGCCGCACCGTAGGTCCAGGCGAATGTCCCAGGATATCACGCATTCGAGATCCACTGAAAATCTCACGGTGCCCTACTTCAGGTATGTATCACGCTTGTAAACTTTCAACTTGGAATGGCCGCGCGACGAATTGCAAGCATCACGAGTACGTTCAGAATCTTTTAATTAAATAGCTGGATTCGAAAAAATTTAAACTCTTTCGGACTCTGAAAGTCGCGAACTTGAAAATTACGTAAATCTCTTTTATTTGCTCGTCTTGTTTTACTCGCTCGTTGTTGTACTATTGTGTCTTGTAATATTAAATATTTATAATAATGGTATTAATAATTGTTATTTATTATCATTGTTATATTAAATAATATATTATATATTAATAAAAAATAATATTGATAACATAATTATAAATAAATAAATATTAATATATAATTATAAATAATATTATAAATAATATTAATAAATAATAAATATTTATAATGTATAATTTTTATAATAATATATAATAATAATATTTACAGTAATATAATATATAATATTTATAACAGAGTATATATTTAATATTAAATATTTATAATATATAATATTTATAATAATAGAGTATATATTTAATATTAAATATTTATAATATATAATTTTTATAATAATATATAATAATAATACAGTAATATTATATATAATATTTATAATAATGATATTAATAACTGTTATTTATTATCATTGTTCATATTACATTATTATTATCATTTTAATCCGATAATTGTACTTTATGATAATGATATTTTCACGCCGCTACAAACCGAACGAATTACGTTAGTATTGTTAATTACGATTTCAAAATTTTTCGAATTTTTACTCTAATCGCTACAAACATATCGTACGTAAAACATTCACTTTTAATTCGAGACAGAGTACAATTTTTCAGTCAGAAGAAATGAAAAAAATGAAAAAAAGGGAAAAAAACGACACGATGTTACTCGTGGAGATGTTACACTCAGGCTTAAACACTCGGAGTAAAACAAAATTTCAATCCTCGAAAGGGAATGAAGAAATCCGCGGGAACGTTACACAGATCCAAGAAGCGCGTGCTCTCGTCAATTTAGCGAGTTTTACTTGTTGCAACATCAGACAATCCCGGTTCGCGCCTCGTGCTCCTCCATTCGTGAAATTTGTTTCTTCTTCTTTCCTCTCTGTCTCTCTCTTTCTCTCTCTCTCTCTCTCTCTCTCTCTCTTTCATTTTGTCGCGTACCCGGTAATTTCATTCACGGAAGCCCTCTCCCATTGTTGCTTGCTATCTTCGCCGGCCATTCCGCCCCGTGGATTCGTCTTCTGGGGTTCGTTTGTACGACGCATGGCTCGTTGCATCGTGAAATTGCATCGTGACTCGCCTCACTGGCTCTGGCTTTTACGGGAGGCATTCGAGGGAGGGGAGAAGAAAAGAAAAATAATAATAATAAATAATAAGTAACTCTCTGTTTAAGGGGGCAGGACAGTTTGATTAATGGTCTAAAACTTACGAATACTTTGGAGGGCTAGTGAAAAAAGAAAAAATGTACATATTTATTTATATGGCCTGTGTAAAAGTACATATTTGTTTATATGGTATTTATTATTTTGTTATTTATATGTAAAAGTACATATTTATTTATTTGGCATTTAATTATTTATGTGGTGCTAAAAATTACGAAATTACTTTGGAGAGCTAGTGAAAAAAAAAAGGTACATATTTGACACGAGCTTCTGTGGTTTATTTTGACACATTACGAACTGTAAAAAAAGCAACATTAAAAGAGAAAAAAAGAGGGCTCTTATTTAGCTTTTTTAACGGTATCCTTTTACGTAACTTTTTTTTGACATTGCCTATCGGTGTGCATGATTCCAGCCAAACAGGATTGGTCGCAACAAAAAGGCAAGAAAAAAGTTCAAAAGTAAACAATATTCTCTAAGGATCGACGATCCAACATTTTCATTTCTGTGAAAATTGTGAAAAGCAGCAGCTATTTGTTTTTAATGTATCGAATGTATGCCAAAAATTTCTACGTTTTTTTGTTTATATTTTTCGAAATTGTTGGAAATTAAGAAATTTTTTTGAAATTGTTAAAAATTAAGAAAAAATAAAAATATATTTTCTCGAATTAAGAAATTAAGGAATTCGAATTGTTGAAAATTAAAAAATGTTCGATCGTCAATCCCTAGTAAATGTTACGTTAAAGATACGCGCCGAGTTTCACAGTAATCGGTTGGTTAGATTCCGAGATATCTTGCACACCGTTTCTAAACACCTAGTTTCGAGAAAAACTACAGTTTAAAGTTTCAAAACGTCATTTTTCATATGTATCCTTTACTTACTTTTTTTACTTATACATCGCCGCTCACAGTTCTTACAGTTCGCAACAAAATTGAATCCAGGTCCCCTAATATTCGATTCGTCAAAAGCAACATTTCAATCACACAATTTACACGTTGTAATGCTGCTTAAAATTTTTCAACAGTGATAGAAATTCAATTATTCTGTATCCGCGGATTTATTATTATACCTCAGTCGTTATAACAAGTCGTTTTAAAGGCTAGAACCTTTTCTATCTTATTTCTAAAACTTCAAACTACTATTTAAAACAAAAAGAAACAAAAAAAAAATCGATTTTTTGAAAATTTCAAACTGTCCTGACCTCTTAACCTCTTGCGTTGGAGAACATTTCCCAAAATTGCAATATTTTCTCGGTTTCAAGTATATTTAAATACAATCCCAGGCAAAACAAACGATAAAAACTTGTTTTGTTAGTAATTGTTTCTATGCAGCGATATCGTACCAACGAGTTCAATGTTTGGTCACTCGTTATGGTCCGCAATCAGGTTGCCAGCGCAAGATTCCGTCGCGTTTAAGATTCTCGGTTTCGCGAACGAAATTTTCCGCGGGGGGCCGGCGATTTTTGAGATAGAGCCGATATTATTCTCGTCGTTAATCAGGAATCATTGGTTTTCGCAGGAGCAAGAGCCGCAGCGTGGATCATGGATTCGCCGCGCCTTTCGATTGGGACTCGTCGAAGAACAAGGTCGAAGGTCGCTTCGAATCGGTCGACGAGTTCGCCAAGGGTGAGTTCAATGAATTTCTACTCCGTCATTCCGTAAATAACACTGCCTCGTTCAACAATCTCTTCGCTGATTTTTCATTTCTAACTTTCGAATGTTTTTTTTTTTTTTTTTTTTTTATATATATATTCGATCTTCGATTTTTCATTTCCTTTTCGTTCGACGCGAAGAAGAAGAATTGTTGAAAACTCTTGACTTTGGTTGTACGACAAACGGTATCGCAGGATTCTGACTGAAGCGTGACACGACTTGGAGGCTAGGTTGGAATGAAAAATAAAAATCTGCTTCGCGAGACAGTGGAGACTGTAGAGAGGAAGCAGCGCGAATAAATCTCGCGAGAGGAATGCCAATTAAAGTTGAGCTGGCGCGAAGCGATCGATCAAACCTGGCATTTGTGCCACTTTAAGAAAGTAAGTCAATGTAATTCGCAATGAGTAAGGTTGCATACGCGACGGTGTAACGCCTAGGATCGTGACGAAGACCTTCGGGAGTCTGGTTCGTGATCTACACGGTCGTCGCGACGACAATTGGCCCCACCGATCCATTCGAACTTCCGCGTACAGGTGTATCACTAATATCATCTATTGTTATTTTATCTATCCATCTGTCTGTCATCTCGTTTATTAACTATTATTATTTCAACACGTTGTGTACCAAGTTTACCAAATTTGGTACGCGGTGAGCCTCGTTTGCACGTCGAATGAAGTCTCAATTTTTTTCCGTCTTGTTTTTAGTACGAATAAAGTTTTTTAGTATGTATAAAATATTAACAATTAAATGTAAATATACATATACATATAAGGAATTAGGCAAAATAAATATATTCACCTGTTTGTCAAAAGCAAAAGGTAGCACGATCAATTGATTTTGAAATGAAATCTGGAATGAAAGGATTAATGAAATATATACTGTCTCATGTATATTTTATGAATTTAAAATTTTAATAAAAATGTTAAAATTTTTTTATGGGACGATAAGACCTTATATTTTGTATTTAATGTAAAGTTTAAATTAATATTTAACTGAGAGAATTATTAAATTTAATAAATTTCAATTTTTGAAAACTTTAATTAGAGGAAAAAATACATATATTACATAATAAAATACATAAAATTTAGTATATTTCCAATGTGGATAAAGTTATTAAAGTATTTTTAATATAAATGAAGTTATTTTTAATAAAAATGTTATAGAATTTTACGTTAATTTACTTTGGTATTTAATGTGAAGTTTAAATTAATATTTAACTGGGAGAATTATTAAATTTAAATTAAATTAATAAATTTTAATTTTTGAAAACTTTAATTAGAGAAAGAAATACATATATTACATAATAAAATACATAGAATTTAGTATATTTCCAATGTGAATAAAATTATTAATGTATTTTTAATATAAATGAAGTTATTTTTTTTTTATACGTAGCATATGGTTATATTTTCTGCGATAAATAAATTTCAAGCACTTAAAAAGCTAAAAGTATGTTCTTGTTCATTTTCTAAAAGTCTATACCGTGGCAAAAACTATCTCAGAAGCTACGCTCAACATGCGTGAACCACATTCAGAATTGAAACTGATTTTTTCGAACGCGTTTCCAGAATTTTGGTATCTTGCCAATTTCCAGATGAAGTTTCGGCGTTTCAGGGAAGTTATTAGAATTTCAGCGTTTAATCTTGACGCTGGAACCACGAGTCTCCAACATACATGTGTATCAAAATATTTTACAGTGAGTCTCATAAATAAATCATAAAATCTGAATTTTATATACGCTCCCACTTTCAAAACACACATCGTTCGTTTCATTCTAAGAGAGTAGAAAAATGAAGGCGGTTTTCTTCCCCAAAGATATACTATAAATTAGTATGAGAAAGAAAGAAAAAAAGAAACGTTGAAAAATCTTGAAGAAGAAGCCTCTTCTTTTCAACGATGTACAATCTTCTTATTAAACTTTATCAAGCTTGTTAGAGTTACTCGTACTAACTGTCGAAGCGTAATCGCGATACAATAAGAGTATCAAGCATTTAATGGAGTTATTGCACTAACTGCCCAATCATTTATGCACGATACCATAAATATTCGAAGTCCATGAATATTTTATCATCTGTAGATCATTTAAACGCGAGCTGTAGCCTGTTTAAATTCCACCTCCCCCGGCTGTTCATTCATAAAAATGCGAATCTGCATAAATTCCCGGAGTCTACAATTAAGAGAGAGAGAGAGAGAGAGAGAGAGAGAGAAAGAGAGGGGATACTCGCGATTCCACATTTAATTCAAATCGGGCAACGTAATAATTTACGCTGCCGATAGCAGGTCGTTGAATTATTCATCCAATGTTAAACATTATTTGCGAGCAACGACCGTGATAATTACGAGAGAACATTTTTATCCCTCGATTCACAGCCTCCTCCCCCCCTCACAATGTATTCGAGAATTTATAAATTCGACGGAAGAAACCAAAAATAATGTTCGTTTGTTCGATGACTATCCATTTTTTTGTGACTCGCGGAGTAGAGTAGATTAGATCGCGTAATTAATTATTAGATCGACAAAATGATAAGATTCACGAGGACGCATTTTGCTGGCATCTTTTACTCTTTGTCTCTACAAAGTGTAATTGCAATAATGTCGAAGCGCAACCATTCAGTCTTGGATTTTGTGTAATCAACAACGAGGTATCAGAGAGAAATACAGTGTGTTTAGTCAGAACGTTATTTTTGGGGGGGGGGAAAGAAATACTCTTTTTTTTTTTTTTTTTTGCACAGATCGAAAGTACATTCTAATGAACGCCCCCTCCCCCTTGACATACGAATTAAATGAAATTAAATATAACCAAAAAGATAACATTTATTTTGTCATTTTGACAAAGATAATTTTTATACCCTTACATTTATACTGCAAAGTGTCATAGATTGTATAGGTCAATATTTGTGGACAAAATTATGTTATTATATTATATTAATAGAATAACAAAATTATATTATTATATTATTATATTAAAGGGTAATAAAATTATATTGATTCAATTCAATTAAATTATTTTATTATTGTATTATACGTCAATATTTGTAAACGAAATTATATTATTATCTTATATTAATAGGGTAACAAAATTATATTGATATAATTAAATTATATTATTACAGTATTATATTAAAGGATAATAAAATTATATTAATATAATTAAATTATATTATTATATTAAAGGGTAACAAAGTTACATTGATATAATTAAATTATATTATTTTATTAGTATATTAAAGAATAATAAAATTATATTAATATAATTAAATTAGATTATTATATTATTATACGTCAATATTTGTAAACAAAATTATATTATTTTATTATATTAATAGGGTAACAAAATTATGTTAATATAATTAAATTATATTATTATAGTGTTATATTAAAGGGTAACAAGGTTATATTAATATAATTAAATTATATTATTATATTAAAGGGTAATAAAATTATATTAATATAATTTAATTATATTATTGTATGTCAATATTTGTGAAAAAAATTGTATTATTATATTATATTAATGGGATAACAAAATTATATTATTATATTATCACATGTCAATATTTGTAAACAAAATTAATAATAGATAATGAAAGTACAAATTAATAATTCAACAGTCCTTGGGGAAAAAGAATATTTCTTTCGGAGAAATGGCGTCCCTACACACCATTCTTACCAAACACACCGTGAATACTTGATGGAGGAGAGTGTCTTTCTTAGAACCCGACGTTCGCCCAAAGACAAACGCGGCTGTAAATAATTTTACGATCGAATCTCTCGGGCGAAAGAAGATCGTCGGTCGCGATACTTTCCATCTTCAGACGAAATTTAAACGCGGTGGTGCAAAGCTCGCGATTAGTTGTCCGAGCTTCGGGTACTGCTTTTGTACGCGCAGTCCTATCGGAGCATTCGTCACGAGAGAAAGAAAGAGAGAGAGAGAAAGAGAGAGAGAGAGAGAATTCGATCAGCCGGGAACTCGAAACGAAGTCGTGATTAAGTTCTCGTTAACGTTTCGTTAAACGTTCAAGTCGCGATATCGACTGTTAATTCGTCGAAGAGTGATTGCATAGATGGGAAACGAGTGAGAGAAACAGTGTGTCGTTTGCACGAAGCACGGAGATTACGTGGAAAATTTAAATCCCGACACGCGGTAGGGCTTGGTAGGGCCGACACTTTATTAAACGCAGAATCCATGTCGGTTGAGCGCGAGGCTAGGGGAGTAACCTAACCCAAATACCCGTGTACCGCGAAACATTAATAACACTCGCGCGGTGTGTACCCGCGTGCCTTTAATGGCCGGCGTGGATTTGCCAAATGACAGCCCGCTCGAATTCCCGGCCGGTCGCTCGGGAAATTTATCTAATTACTCGGGAATGGCCTGGCCCCGCTACCAAATCGAGTCGACAGCCCTGGAATTTGTCAACCTCTGTTTTCCGGATGGCTTTGCTTCACGGCTTCATTCAGCGAGCACATTTTTCCCAGAAATTCAGAAACACAGAGAAAGGAAGAGAGAGAGAGAGAGACGTGTGTGGTGTTTGGATTGATCTTGCTGTTCGAGCAAACGTAAATGCAGATTTTTTTTTTTTTTTTAGTGAACAATTTAGTAATTTTCTCATTTTTTTTCCTTTTTTCATTAAGATCGATGGAAATTAATTTTTTCTTTGATATAAGTTTACGTTATAATTTGTTTAATAACATAGTGAAATTAACAATGTTTCAACATTTAATTAAAATTTAATTCTTAAATTAATGTAACAGGGTATCTAATCCCAGTTTGTTGTTCAATTTTGATATATTCTAATGTAAAAATTTGTACTATTAATGTTCATTTAAATTTCACGTAAAATCAATAAATTTAATATAATCATTATTTTTACTATAATATAAACTTCGTTAAATAATTATAATATAAACTTATACAATACGTTATTTACATTAAATAGTTACTATAATAATATATTACAATATAATACATAATA